GGAGAGAGAGAGAGAGAGAGAGAGAGAGAGAGAGAGAGAGAGAGAGAGAGAGAATAGGGGTTTTCCTGCTCTCAAGGACCCCAAGGAGTGCTGAGACCATTTCTGGTTAACTTGGAACTTACTTTGTAGACCAGGCTGACTTTGAACTCACAGAGATCCACCTAACTCTAGAGTGCTGAGAATAATAGTATTCACCACCATACCCAGCCTAGAACAGATATTTTTTAATTAATTCTTATTTTATTTTATTATTTTGTATATGGGGACTTTGCCTGCTTCTATGTCCGTGCACCATGTGTGTGCCTGGTGTCTGCAGAGGCAAGAAGAGGTCATCAGATCCCCTGGAACTGGAGTTACAGATAGTTGTGAGCCATCGTGTGGGTGCTGGGAATTGAATCCAGGTTCTCTGCAAAAGCAGCCAGAGCTTTTAACCTCTGAGCCATCTCTCCAGCCCCGGGACACATATTCTTTAGATGTTGAATAAGCACAAGCATGCCACCACCTACATCACTGGCAAGCACACTTGCAGGCAGCCTTTCAGGCGGTGTATTATGCCAGGTGCCCGAGGCACACAGAGCTCTTAAAGACTTATAATCTATTTGGGTAGACAGTCCACACAGATAAAAGAATAAACAATACAAAATTAAAAGTCCACACGCATAAGAGAATAACCAGTGCAAACAAGAAGCACTTAATGCTAATCAAGAATGACTTGCTCACACAACTCATTCAGAGTGGAAGTTTCAGGTACCATTAAAATCAACCAGGGAGCATGGGTAAGCAACAGATGGGGAACCTAAAAGGCCGATTGGAAAGAAGTCTGAGACAGTGCTGATACTAGATCAGATCGGGAAAAGCTGCTCTTTGCAGAATTGCCAGCACCACTCCCTGGTCAAGAAATAAAGAAGGCTTAACTCCTCAAGGAGTAAGGTCAAATGAGAAAGCCGTAGATGGTGCCACCTAGAGGAACAGTTCTATAACCCCAGAAATAGTATGATGTGCTGTCTAGTTGAAAGCCTTTCCGGGTCAACTTGAAGATGAAAAACCTGGTACAAAGCACACTGTCTCTTACAAGAGAGAAGACATATGTTGCAAATCCAAAAGATAGCCTAGATGAAACAGACTACCTCGGACATCCTTGCTTTAGCAAGCCCTGAAAATGCATGTTTAGACAGCCCCCTGACTTTATCCAAATATATTTTGTGCCTGCAGAAGTATGCTTTGTCCTGTGGAAAGGGTCTCACTATGTTGCTCACGCAGTTCCAGAGCTCTGGACTTAAGCAATCCTCCTGTCTCGTCCTCTTGAGAAGATGGGACTTGAGGTGCCCACCACTGTGCCCAGAAATATTGACTCAGGTACTTACTAAAAAATCGTAGCTGTGGCCGGGCAATGG